GAGGGCTTCACGGGTTGTGGTTAAGTGTCTGAAAGTCCTAGCTCTGGATCCAAACCTCCAGGCTTCAGTCCAGCTTCTAGAAACTCAGACCTGCAGAGTGCATGATCTTGGGGAGGTCACTTCATTTCTTTTAGCGTCAGCTTCCCCACTGATACAATAACAGTTCCTACTTCACCAGGTTATTGTGAGAAGTAAAATGTTTCAAAAGCAAACACTGGAGTGATTGGCTTATGTAAGGACTCTGTGTGTGTGTGTGTGTGTGTGTGTGTGTTGTTGTGGTGTGTGTGTTTCTCTTATTTGTAATCAGAAGACATTTTTTAGAACAGTTTCAGATTTACAGAGGAATTCAGCAAACACAGAGTTCACGTATTAGCACCCTCCCACACATACAGTATCACCCATTATTATTAATAGCTTACATTAGTATGGCACATTTGTTACAACTAATGAGCCAATACTGGTACATTATTAACAATTAAAGTCCATAGTTTATTCATATTTTCTTTGTATTTATCTTATGCAATTTTTCTATTTTATGATCCCATCCGGGATACCACAGTGAATTAATTACATCTTCATAGGATGATTTTAGCTGTGATGGTTTCCCAGACTTAGCTTATTTTTTTTAAGATTTATTATATATACTTAAGTTGTACAACATGATCTTTTGATCTATTGATACATAAAGATAGTGAAATGTTATCTATTCTTTTGCTACTTTTTCTTTTGCTTACTATAGTCAAGCAAATTAAAATATCCATCATTGCACATAGTTGCCCTTTTATTGTGTGTGGCAAGAGTATCTAAAATCCATACTTTTAGCAAAAATCCCAAACACAATACGGTATTAACTATTGTCCTCATGTTGTACATTAGATCTCTAGACTTCTTCATCCTACATATCTGCTACTTTATATTCTTTGACTTACATCTCCCCATTTTCTTCTTTACTGAATTCAACATAGACTGGGGCAGCTACTGTGGAAAGCAGTTTGGAAGAAATTAAAAATAGAACTACCATAGGACCCAGCAATTCCTCTTCTGGGTATTTAGCCAAAGAAACGAAACCACCACCTTGTAAAGATCTCTACACTCCCATGTTCATATGCAAACAACTAAATTGTCTGTTGATGGACAAATAAACTGTGGTTTACACACACACACACACACACAGAGAGAGAGAGAGAGACAGAGAGAAATACTACTCAATCTTAAAAAGAAAATCCTTCCATTTGCCACAGCGTGGATGAACCTGAAGGACATTATGCTAAGTGAAATAAGCCAGGTACAGAAAGAAAAGTACTCCAAGATATCACTTAAATGTGGACTCTAAAAGAGGTAAGTCAAATAGAGAATAAAACAGAGATAGAGAATAAAACAGTGGTTACCAAGGGTGAAGCGTGGACATGGGGATATGTGGTGTTTGCTTGTTTTTGATGATCTTAACAGTTTTGAAGAGTATTGATCAGGGATATTGTAGGATGCCCTTCTACTGGAACTTGTTAACGGTTTTTCCTCATGATTATAGGTTTTTCTCATGGGGTTATGGGTTCAGGAGAGGTAGTTGAGAGAAGAAGAATAGAGTACCATTTTCATCACATGATATTAAGGGTACATACCATCAACATGATTTATGACTACTGATGTTGAATGATCACCTGGTTGAAGCAGTGTTTGTCAGACTTCTCCACTGTAAAGTTAGTCTTTTCCCCAATTACCCATATTGTGCTCTTGGAAAGGAAGTCACTATGCACAGTCCACATTTAAGGAGTGTGGGGTATACTCCTATCTACCTAATTTACTTGGAATTCTTCAGCACAGAAGACTTGTCTCTTCTTCCCCACTGATTAACTTATTTGATCATTTATTTTTATCAGTATGTACTCATACACTTTTATATTTTATACTTTGGATTATAATGCAATACATATGTTAATATACTTTGGCTCTGTGTCCCCAACCAAATCTCATCTCAAATTGTAATCCCCACGTGTTGCGGGGAGGGGCTTGGTGGGAGGTAATTGAATCATGGGGCAAACTTCCCCCTTGCTATTCTCGTGACAGTGAGTGAGTTCTGATGAAATCTGGTTGTTTGAAAGAGTGTGGCTTTTCTCCCTACGCTCTCTCTCTCCTGCCAACATGTAAACCATGCCTTGCTTCCCTTTTGCCTTCCACCATGATTTTAAGTTACCCGAGGCCTCCCCAACCATGTGGAACTATGAGTCAGTTAAACCTCTTGTCTTTATAAATTACCAATCTCAGGTAGTTCTTTATAGCAGTGTGAAAATGGACTAATACAATGTATAGATACATAAGTATGTATCTATACATTATACTATACACACAAACACACATTTATTTTTCTCAAACGACTCTATTTTTGGCCATTGGGAGCCCTTTCGGTTGGCTCCTGTGTCCCTTTGATATGCCCCCATCATTGTGGTTTTATTTATTTATTTGCAGCACTTCCTTATTTTCTGGCATTACTAGTTGCTCCAAGCTCAGGTTGTGTATTTTCTTTCCCAGTCCTAGAATCAGCCATTTCTCCAAGGGAGCCTGGTTTATTTTATATTGTGGGATCTGGCCAGGAGCTCACAATGCAATGGGGCTTTTTCTTTGTCCCCAGGTGGATCAGCAGGTCAAGAAATAAAAGGCACACACAAGATAGTGAAAGCTGGGTCCAGGGGATCACCACCTTCTGGTCCTGCGATGCCACCAATGCACTGGATATACCAGCATTTATTATTAAGTTTAGTCAGGGTGGGGGTAGGTTAGTGAGGAATTTAGGATCATTTGATTATGAGGTGAGATGGTCACATGGGGATGAACATAACATAATGTCAGTATGCAGAAGTACAGTATACAGAGATAAGAATTTACAATATAGTGTGTGCATCAGCAATTTCTAACAGAGCCTTAAAACAGAAATACAGTCTATCCATAACCTATGTTTAGTAAGATACTAATCAGTAGTAATAATTGCAGCAAAAACTGGTTGCAAACAATCAATAGAAGCAGGACGTGAAACCAGACAACCAGTTAGACCACACATTCTCAGAAGGGAGTATGTCTTAATCCTAAAGAGTCCTAGAAGAGCCATGGCAAGATAAGAGTGTTTATAGCCGTATCTCATCCATATGAACAGGCGCCCCTCATGCATCTGTTTATAGGCTCTCCACAAGGGTCGCATCTCATTCCCAGAGCTATGAACATCTGCTTTTCTGGAATAGGAATCTTGGTGATGTGAAACCTCCCTGACTCCACGTCCGTTTTTAGGCTCTCTGCAGGGGGAAGCACATCACGTGCTGTTGACTAATTCTGGCAGCCCAACCTTGCATTGTCTTTACACAATCCTGCATGCAATTTTGTTTTTACAATAACCAGGAGCATTTCATCTTTTATTCCATAGCAATAGTTTCAGTGGGTCTCCCTACAATTTTATTAGATAAATGCATTACAATCAAGATTTAGGCATCAGATGTGCTCATTGCTACTGGGGTACAATTTCTTTGAGGTCTTCTCAGCGACAGAGCAAAGAAATATATGTGTATATACTAACCATGTATATGCCATCTGTAGCTATATTAACTTAAACATGTATTCTTACTGATGATTCCAACTCTAATCTGGTACCACATAGATCATTCTAGCATCCTCCCCTTGCTAATCTGTAAATTCCTACTCCAACAGTGAAAACCTGGCTCCCACTGTCCAGCATCCATTTATTTAATAGTTCAATTCCAGTATACATGTATAGCAGTATCAGAATTGTTAATCTGTACCCTCATTTGAAAAACTTTATCAACTAGTGTACACTGCATATTTGTAATTTATTTTGCCTTTAGTCTTACAGACTCCATTCATTTCTAAAGTTACTTAGGTCAGCTCCTTTCCCTCTACTCCCTCTGTGAAGTTGCCTCATACATTTGTAATACAGATAGATTCTCGTGTGACAGCCTAAATTATTTTCTGGGATCCCCTCAACATCTGAATTTATTACATTAATTTGCATGCATTAAGATTCACTCTGTGTTGGGCAGGGCTATGAGTTCTGACAAATGCAAACAGTATCATAGGGAGTAGCCTCATGGCGATAAAAATTCCTTGAATTTCACCCATTCAACCCTCCCCCAAACTCCTGGCAACTATTGATCTTCTTACTGTATCTACAGTTTGTCTTTTCCAGAATGTCACATAATTGGAATCATAGCACTATACATAGCACTATTTTTTTTTTTTGGAACAGGGTCTCACTCTGTCACCCAGGCTGGAGTTGCAGTGGCATGATCTCAGCTCACTGCAACCTCCACCTCCCAGGCTCAAGTGATCCTCCGACCTCAGCCTCCTGAGTAGCTGGGACCACAGGCATGCACCACCCCATCCTCCTAATTTTTGTGTTTTTGGTAGAGACGGGGTTTTGCCATGTTGCCCAGGCCAGTCTTGAAGTCCAGAGCCCCAGTGATCCTCTCACAGAGCTCAAGTGATCCTCTTGCTTCAGCTTCCCAAAGTGCTGGGATTACCCGTGTGAGCCACCATGCCCAGCCTCATACTGTACATAGCATTTTCAGACTGGCTTATTTCACTTAGCAATATGTGTGTAAGAATTCTCTGTCTTTTGGTGCCTTGATAGCCCATTTTGTTTTATCGCTGAATTGTATTCCATTGTGTGGATGTACAGCCAGTTTTTATTTCCTTTTTATCCTTTTATCCATTCACATACAGAATGACATTTTGGTTGCTTTCAGTTTGGGGAAATTATGAATAAATTGGCAATCATCATCCATATGCAAGTTTCTCCGTGATCTTAAGTTCAAAATACAAAGCCCTAATCCCAATGTGACTATATTTGGAGAAAGGGCCTTTAAGGAGCTAATTAAGGTTAAATGAAATCATAAGTGTGGTGTTCTAACCTGCTAGGACTCATGTCCATATAAGAAAAGGAAGAGACATCAAAGATTGAGGCCTCCCCTTTTACTTTCTCTTCCCTGTCTACCCTACAGAACCATGTGAAGTCACAGCAAGAAGGCAACTATCTGCAAACCAGAAAAAGAGGATGGAGGTCCAAAAGAACAGAGCCACTGTTATCTACTGAACTGGGGGAGACACAATTCAGTTGGTAACAATGGCTATACTACTTTGCATTCCCAGTATCAATTATAGAGTTCCTTCACTCTACATACTTGTCAGCATTTGGTATTGTCAATTTTTAAGATTTTAGCCACTTTAATAGATGTGTAGGCTAATGTCTTGTTAATGTCTTCATTGTATTCCCTAATGACATATGATGTGCATCTTTACATATTTATTTGCCCTTTGTATATCTTCTCTGGTATTTGTTCAGATCTTTTGACCACGCCTTGGGTTGTTTTGTTTTCTCACTGGTGAGTTTAAGTGTTCACTTCACATATTTTGATGCTCTGTTATGTACATAAACATTAAGGATTATTATATCTTCTTGGAGAATTGACCACTTTATCATTATGTACTGCCCCTCTTTACCCCTGAAATTTTCCTTGCTCTGAAGTCTGATACTAATGTAGTTACTCTTGCTTTAGTTTTTATTTTTATTTTTATTTTTATTTTTTGAGACAGAGTATCACTCTGTCACCCAGGCTGGTTGTGCAGTGGCACGATCTCAGCTCACTGCAAGCTCCTCCTCCCAGGTTCACACCATTCTCCTGCCTCAGCCTCCCCAGCAGCTGGGAATACAGATGCATGCCGCTACGCCTGGCTAATTTTTTTTTTTTTTTTGTATTTTTAGTAGAAATGGGGTTTCACCATGATAGCCATGATGGTCTTGATCTCCTGACCTTGTGATCCACCCACCTTGACCTCCCAAAGTGCTGGGATTACAGGTGTGAGCCACCGCACCCGGCCTACTCCTGCTTTTTTTTTTGATGAATGTTAGCAAGGCATATCTTTCTCTGCCCCTTAACTTTTAACCTACCAGTATCTTTATATTTAAAGTGAATTTCTTGAAGATTGTTGGGTCTTATTTTTTATTCAATCTGATAGTTCATATCTTTAATTTGTACTAAGTTTCTACTTACATATCTTCAAGCTCATTGATTCTTTTCTCCACTATCTCCAGTCTACTGATGAGCCTTTCAAAGGCATTCATTTATGTTAACAATGTTTTTTATTTCTAGCATTTCCTTTTTTTTTTTTTTTTTTTTTTTGAGACAGAGTGTTGCTCTGTCACCCAGACCGCAGTGCAGTGGCGCGATCTTGGCTCACTGCAAACTCTGTCTCCCAGGTCCAAGCAATTCTCCTGCCTCAGCCTCCGGAGCAGCTGGGATGATAGGCATGCACCACTGCGCCCTACTAATTTTGCGCTTTTAGTAGAAATGGGGTTGGCCAGGCTGGTCTTGCACTCCTGACCTCAAGTGATCTGCCTGCCTCGGCCTCCTAAAGTGCTGGGATTACAGGCGTAAGCCACCACACACCTGGCTTCTAGCATTTCCTTTTGAGCTTTTCTTAGCAGTTCTACTTATATTACCCACCTGTTCTTAAATGTTGTTTACCTTTTTCCAATAGAGCCCTAAATAGAGCACTTGATGTATATTAATCAGTTATTTTGACCCAATGTGTTTTTGCTACTTTTATCAATCCTTCCACATCTGTGCGGTAAACATGAGCACCTTCTCCATATCACAGTCAGTGATCTGAGGACGTTGTTGTTGTCCAGAGTATCTTAATCTAACAAGCAGGGGCAGGATTTGAACGCAGGTCTCTCTGGTCCATGGTTTATGTGGGTAAACCTCATACCCTTCCACTATCACAGTAACAAGGATGTGAAGCATTTCTAATATCTGTTGCTCCTAAATTCATTTAATCCATCCCTGAAGATACTTCTGTGTACATGGACAAAGAATTTTCCATTTTTGCTGCATTCATAAGGCCTTTCTCCAGTGTGCATTCTTTGTGGTTCAGTAAAACTGGAACTTTGGCTAAAGGATTTCCCGTGTTCCCTGCAGTAATAAGGTCTTTCTCCAATGTGAATTGACTGGTGAGGAACAAGTCCATATTTGCAGCTGAAGGTTTTCCCTCCATTCACAGAACTCATAAGTCCTTTCCCCGATGTGGACTCTTTGGTGTTTGACAAGTAAGGGTTTGTATTTGATAGCTTTCACATATGTCATACACTTATAAAGCCCTTCTCCACTGTAGACTCTTTGGTGCTGAACAGGTGTGTGTTTGCAGTTCATGGATTTCCTGAATTCGCTGCACTTCTCATGACTTTTTCACTGTGAATGGCTGCCCCACACTCAGTGGTGCTGTGTGGCTTTTCCTGTTATGTGTGGCCTGGTGCTGGAGAAGTCCTGAGCCAACCAGAAAGTACCTTCCAACCTTCTCAAAGGTAAAGGACTTCTTTGGCACAAGAAATCTGCAGCCGTTCATGAACAAGCTCCTATCTACATCTCTTTACTGAAAGGATCATCTCCCACATGCCCCTAAGTATACGATTTCTTCCTGGGATATTTTCCCCTGTCCTCAGCAAAAGGCAAAATGTCTTTCAAGATCAAGACATACATATCACAGAAGTGGGCTTTCTGAGGAAAGGGCCTCGGGGGGCTCTGACCTGTGACAATTCTTTTACAGAAAATATCAGCCGAGAAGGTGCTTCCTCATCTTTCACTTCACGCCAATAACCTGAAAGCAATGACATGCCAGTGAAGTGCACATGCACTTTGGTGAGAAGGGGCACTGCCATCACAAATGTGTATCGGCACACCAATGCATGAGTCTGTGTGAGTTCCCAGGACTGTTTTCAGGAGGAGAGAGTTTGGGTCGGATTGAGGAAGCAGCTGTTATGAACTCAGTTTTCAAAAGGTCACAGCATGGGGGAAGCCTCACTTGGCAAAGGACACAAGGATGAGGTGCAGCACAAAGAGGAGAGGTGGGGTCTACAACTCCCCCCTCTGCCCATGGTTTTTGGTACTTATCTTTGCTGATGACACGAGAGGTGTGCAGAAAGGTATGTCCAGGCCCAAGAAAATCCAACTGCAACAGAGTGGCTCACGTTCAAAGACTACTTAAGAATATGTGTGCATCTCACAACACAGTATGTGTGGGCCAGTGTTGGAGAACACTTTGAGAGGGAGCAGTGGACAGGACTGGGTAAAATGTGCAATACAGAGATTTGGGGATTAGCCCTGGGACAAAAGTCTGACTAGAAATGGCAAGCTGCCAGTGTCAAGAATGGGAAAAGAAAGGTAGAAATGAGGTGTGACCACTGGCATTGGCGCCAAAATAGTAGTGGGAACAGGCCTGGTTCATGGTATGATTTGAACACAGCTCTGATGTCATGCCCTCTCACCTGCCACTTAATAGGGCCCCAGCTGAGAACAGTACTCTTCCCCCAGCTGAGAATAGTACCTGGATGATGCAAGAACTAAAGGAAAAGACTGAAGAAGGGAGGAGCCAGCACTGGCCCAGGGCAACTTGGAGCAACAGACGACAGGTAAGAAAACCAAATGTCACAAAAACAACCTCAGAGGAGGACATAAATAGTGACCGTGTCAGTAACTGCAATTCCTGGCATAGGAAGACATGGGGATATATTAACTAGAGAAAGAGGGGAGAACCTGGGGCAGAGACGTCACCTGGCCAGGGAAAGGGAAAAGTGGGCTTAAAACGGCTGACGGTAAGACTCCTGATCCTCTTCCAAGTAAGGCTTTGGGGCAGCAGGTATTGAGGCTGGTTGGGAAGAGGATAGGACAGTACAATGGCTCAGGTCCACCAACCAGTGAACCTACCCAGGAAACTGAGGAAAGAAGTAGAGTCCATTGTCCTAAGGTGAGAAGGATGGATCTGTCCTTGGGGAAAAGGAAAGGCAGAGTCTAGTCTAAAGCATCTGGGTGGGTGTGAGGGTCTCACCTATTGAGGTGAAAAGTTCTCCAGCATCACACTGCATTATAAGAGTTTCTGAACATCATCAAGGAGACTCCATTCCTCCCAGGAGAAGTGCACGGCCACTTCCTCAAAGGTCACACTGCTCTGCTATGATAGGGACGGATGAAACCATGAACAGCCTCTCTCTTGAGGACCCCCAGTGCATCTTTCTATAAATCCACCCCCCTATTCATACTTCTCCCAAGCTCCACAACCCAGAGGATGTATCAGACCTTGGTGTCACTTGTGCCTACTCCCTCCTGTCACCCATTAATCGCTGTGTCTGTGCTCAACAAGAAGAAGGAGGTGGGCAGACAGACACCATTTAAGTTCCAGGCCTGCCACGCTGGGCCCCACACCCTCTTGCCAAGAAATTACCAGGAAGTCCCCTAGATGGTACCTTCCAAACACAACCAAACTTGGGCTCACTCTTCATCCTTAAGTCCCCAATACCAAGGCCCTAGGACACACTCCCTCTCCATGTGCACATCATTCTTTAGACTGTACCTCTCTCATATCTCCAGATCCCATGGATATTGCTATCTTCCGGTCCCAAACTATAGATCCCTCCCCAGCCTCCCCACATGCTACTCACCACATGGCAACAAGAACGTGCCTGGCAATTCAAACAGAATCTAGTACTTCCCCAGACCTCCAATGGCTTTCACCGCCAGGGGCAACCCTTAATCCTGCTATGAAAGCCTCACCTTCTGGCTCTGTTTCATTAGTCAATCTCAGTCATCCAGTACAATATGCAGGTTTTAGATACCTCCCCACAAACCGCTGCCCTCCTAGTGCCTCTACCAGACAACCACATTTGCCCGTGTACTAGTCCACTAGCTTGGTGAGTCCGTAGAGCTGTGAAGTAAAGGCCCTGGCCTCAGTATCATCTTTCTTCAATTTCTCCTATGCTTCTGTATCCACATGAATGTCTATTCTTCCCTTAGAAGCCCTGGCCTCCTGCCAGACCCTCCTTTCCCCAAACCCACCCTTCAGGCTCAGTTCTCTCCCTTCAGATGTGCCTGTGATGCCCACCACACCCAACCAGGTGCTCAAGCAAGAGATCTAGTCCTCGGCCCTCACTCTCTCCTTGGCCAGCTGAAAGCTGAAGATCATGACCTGAAGATTTCTTCTTCTAAATGTGATGCACAGCTTCACCTCAAGTCTACAAAGTGGCCACCACCTTCTGGAGGTCTCTATTCCGAATGACTCCCTAGAGTTCCAGACCTTTGTGTCTACGAGTCCACTTGATGTCTTCACTCAGTGTTCTCTGAAATATCTCACTCTTCACATGGCCAAAACAAAACTCACATATACCCACTGAAAATTACTTTTACTACTAACTTCCCCTTCATTCCTGTGGAGTCTTAATTAGGCAAAAGGAGTCAGGCTGGTGGGACTAGGAGAAACCAAAAAGAGAAAGCAGATAAGCTCTAAGTCTACCTTTCTTCATGGTCCAGGACACACAGCCCTCCTGCACAAATAACTCACAATCTTCCGTGCCCAACTATCACCAGACACTTGCATGCTAGCTCACTGCAACCATAGCGTTATCAGTATTACACAAAACCTTCTTCAGCACACAGCATAAACACTATCCTATAGAATCTCAAGCAAGCCTTTGTTTCTTGGCAGTCAGCTTCTCTTCTGCTGATCCTGCCTATTCCCTCCCTGGCAACGTATCTTCCTACTTTCTCTAATAAATCTGCCTTTATTAACCTACAACTGTCTTGGTAAGTTCTTATACTCCCACACCAGTGGCCCAGATAGTCACTGCTCACCTATGACACTCCCTTCCAAAACTCTGGAGTAATCCCTAAGTGCTACCGTTCTCTTTTTTTTCTTTTTTTTTGAGATGGCAGTCTCAATCTGTTGCCAGGCTGGAGTGCAGCGGCACAATCTCGGCCCGCTGCAACCTCTGCCTCCTGGGTTCAAGAAATTCTCCTGCCTCAGCCTCCCGAGTACCTGGGACTACAGGCATGTCCCACCACACCCAGCTAATTTTTATATGTTTAGTAGAGACAGGGTTTCGCCATGTTGGCCAGGATGGCCTCAATCTCTTGACCTTGTGATCCACCCGCCTTGGCCTCCCAAAGTTCTAGAACTACAGGCATGAGCTACCATGCCTAGCTGCTACCTTTTTTCTCTCACCCTCAACGTTAGAAAATCCAGCATTCAGCCCTATTTTAAAAAAAGATCTGGAATCCAGATACCACCAACACTTACCTAGACTATTGTAGTAGCCTCATCCCTGATCTTTCTGCTTCCTCCCTCACTCTCAAAATGTGTTCAGTCTGCAGCCAGAGGGAGCCTATTAAGACCTGAGTCATGTCACCTCATTGCTCCCATGCCATTGCTCCCATCATCTCCAGAAACCACCCAACTTCTCAGATTGCCATTCCAGATCTGGCCCCTACTCTCCTGCTAGCGACAAAGAGAGGAGATCTGTGCTTCTCTGAACACTCCCTTCTAATCCTTACCTTCAAGCATTTGGAGATGGTGGTACCTGTGCTTAGGATAACCTTCCACACCTCATTCTATCAGTTGCTAGATATACACAGGAACTATTACATATACTCCCTCTGGCCCAGGACCCTGGGCTTGGGGTTTCTCAAGCATCCCCAGGCTCAAGGGCTAGAAGAGTCACACACAGGCTGAGTCTCAAGGCACCACAATCCCATAGACACGTGGATGGAAGGTTGGGACCAGTGAGGGCTCACTCACCTGTGTGTGATCCATAAGCACTTCTGTGGCCACAGGAACCTGTGGGAAGAGGTAGACCTCGAAAAGCAGGCAACTATGGGAGGGCCCCATGGGCTTAGGCCTCTCTTGAACATCCGCCCAGTGGTGGAAACACTGGACTGACAGTACAATCTCTGTATTTTAGTCCTCAATAATGCCTTTTACCTGCTTTTAACTTTGAACAAGTACTCAATCTCCCTGTACCTCACTGTCCTCCTTGTGCCTCATCCAGTCTTCTTCCTCCAAGCAACTTTTGGGAAACTTTAAAACCCTTAACTTAGACTGTGTTCCTCCTCTGTTCGCAACCCTGCATGGCTCCAAGCACCATCAGAAAGTGAAACCGTGCCCCAGGGGTAGAGAATTTGTTAACCAGCAAAATTTCCTGAGCTTGTTTTGCAGAACAGTGGAGAAGTAAATCATTTGTTACAGTCCTCTCTGTTTGCAATAAAGTTGGCTGATGAGCTGAGACTGCTTGGGACCAATATGGCTGACTGGAGTCTGCACAGAATAGACTTACTCATCAGATGAGTGACCTTTTGAGGTTAGAGGGCTGAAAACACCTCCAGATCATGCTACCACCATTTTCTGAACATATGACCCATAAAGCAGCATGTAGGGGCAACAGTGCATGCCCAAGGGACTCTCCAAACCTCTTTTTCTTCCAGCCAATCACTGTCCAGCCCAAAACCCCACCGCAAAATCTCTCCCTCATGTGTATGGCGGCCAAGCTAGTACGAGGAGACAGACTGGCCTCCTGTCTCCTTGACTCTTAATAAACCTTTATTGCTGCAAAAACCCAGTGCTTTGGTGTTTGGGTTTCTGGTGTTTGGCTTTCCTTTGTATACGGGCAAACGGGCCCAGTTTGGTTCTGTGACAAATCAAGGTACACCTTCTTGTCACTGTAGGTGTGACTTCTCTTCACACCCTACTCTGTGTACACACAGCCCCCAGGCCAGCCCAGTTGCCCCTCCAAGCCTTTGCACATCCTGATCCCTCAGTCTGTAACAATCTTCTGTGACTCACCACACTGCCTTTCAGAAATGGCTTCATCACCCATGAGCTCTCCCGTTTCCCCCAAGCCTAAACACCAGGGCCTAGACTGAAGTGACTTGAACAGGCTCTCATAATGTGGGGCTTAAGTTTTGAAAGTAGGAGTCGGGCGGGTGAGGGCCCAAGGGACACAGCACCAACTTGAAGCCACAGTGATGTGAGCCTGTGGGTGAATGGTGCCAGAAACTGCAGGTGACTAGGATGGGGACAGCCACATGGCAGCCTCCAGCCCAGCACTGACACGAGATCACAATGGGTGGCACCTTGGCCTAGCTTCAGAGCCTCAGTCTTACCTCTGTGTGGTAGGGACAAGGCTTCCTGTTGCCTTCGCCTCCTTTTTCCTCAGACCTGACCCAGTCCTCTGCAGTTTCTGAACGGGTGAAACAGCCGCAAGGCAGCCAAAATGACCGCCACAAAGCGAGACAGGAAACCCTGCCCCCATCTTCACCCCTAAACCCGGAATCACCCATCTTTCTGTGCTTTCATTGGATAAGCGCTGCTGCCACTCAGCAGAGCATTCTGGGTAAGGGTGACACAGATCTCACACCTCCACGCCGTGAAGAGCTTTCCCCCTGCAGCCACACCCTCTTGAATAACCCTCATTCTCAGGCTCCGAGGTGGGGAAGTAGCTACATCTCTGGACGTATCCAGCAATGATCACCAAAGTTTTGAGACATTATTTCAGACTCTGTGAAGCTCAGCATGCTCCCAGGGCCATATTTCTGATGTTCCCAAAGATTACAAATCCAAATGGAATGATCATTCCGTAGTGTTACTGACACCCAAAGTATGGCCACGCATAGCTGGAAACTAATTACCTTACTGATCTTCAAGTGACTGTGGCCTGAACAGTTAGAGTCAGTTCTGTGAATTTCAGTATGCTCCGTTAGGGAGAAGAGAAAAAAGCCTCCAGATAGGGCCATGATAGGGAAGGCAGAAAAGTGATATTGGGCTGCCCAGAATCAAGTGGACAAGGGTGGCGCTAAAATTTTCTGGTTTTCTTGGGGAGTTGCCCAGCGAAATCCTCTGCTCTCCAACCTTTAGAGTGAGAATCTGCTGGAGAAGCCATGGGTGGAAATCTTCCAGGTTAGTGAAACCGCTCCTATAAACTTTAAAAACTGTATCAGGAAAGAAGGGAGAAATGAAAATAAGCCAAGGTTGCAGCACATTCAACATTAATCATTCCATCATCTTGCTCTCTGACCCACTTTCTTATAGTTGTTTTGTGCTGATTGTCTTCAAACAATGTGGATTCAACCTTTTGGCTTCCTGGGCCACATTGGAAGAAGAATTGTCTTGGGCAACATGTAAAATACACTAACACTAATGATAGCCGATGAGCAAAAAAAAAAAAAAAAAAAAAAGGAAAAAGGTCCTTGCATGATTTTCGTAATATCTGCCACCATAGATAAGCTAAAAATTCCTTGCATTCAAAGACTCAGACACCTGTGAACCCTGTTACAAGATTATAATTCCCCTTAACTACTCCATAGATAACAACTTGAACATTAAGAAACATTAAGTTTTCCCCTTTGAGATATTCCTTGAGGTCCTGCATACCAATGAAGCTACTGACTCAGCTGGTCTGAAGGATGCCACAGGAGCTGACTCACCAAAGAATGCAATTTCCACATCCTGATGATTTTGTCTCCCTAACCCCAACCAATCAGTGGCCCCAATTCTCCAGCCCCTTGCACTCCACGGTCTTAAAAATCCCAGCCCAGAACTTCTAGGGAGGTGGATTTGAGAGTCTCCTCCCATCTCCTTTCCTGGTGCCCTGTAATTGATAAACTCTTTCTCTGCTGCAAACGCTGCTGTCTCAGGGTAATGGGACTGTTACTGCCCAGCAAGCACATGAAAACCTCTTTGTCCTATAACACTAGTGAGCCTGCAAGTTCATGGCAGCTGCTTGCAAAAGTTCTCCTTGGCCAAGAGAGTACACAGCCTGTGAAGGGAATAGTGGAAACTCAACCTCTGGAGTGAAAGATCAAGACTTAGTCCTCTGGGCTGAGATCCTGAATGACTTCCTGAGTGAATGGTAGGGACTAGACTTTTGGGCTGGAAGTGGGGGGCTCAAGTCCAGCCTGGGTCAGCACCAGATCTCTGCAGTGTTGTGGATAGACATGCATTGGTGAGAGCATAGGGGCCCCTTGGTTCTACCTGGGCCACCCTGCCCTCACTGTGGGCTGCCATCAGTTGTCTGGGCATGTGTAGTCATCAAGGGTGTTGTATCTCTCCTCACCACCATTTCCAGCCAGACTCACACTTCCTCTCTTTCTTTCTCTCTCATGGTCCCCTATGAGGTGTGACCTCAGATCAGATGTGGATAGAACCTAATGGTCAACACCAGAGTCATGTAACTCCCCATTTTGCATGTGCTTTCTTTAAACTAGCCAATTCACAACCCCCACAAGAAAGCATAGGGATAATGGACCTGATAGGGTTTGGATTTGTGTCCCTCCCTGACCAAATCTCATGTCAAATTGTAATCCCCAGTGTTGGAGGAGGGGCCTGGTGGGAGGTGATTGGATCATGTGTTGGGGGGAACTTCCCCCTTGCTGTTGTGAGTGCTCATGAGACCTGGTTGTTTCAAAGTGTGTGGCACCTTCCCCTTTGCTCTCTTCCTCCTTTTCCAGCGATGTAAGGCAGACCTGCTTCCCCTCCACCTCCTGCCATGATTGTAAGTTTCCTGAGGCCTTCCAGCCATGCTTCCTGTACAGCTACAGAACTGTGGGTCAATGAAACCTCTTTTCTTTATAAATTACCTAATCTCAGGTAGTTCTTTAAAGCAATGTAAGAATGGACTAATACATGACCTTAAGGCCCATGCACCTTGGCAGAGGTCTAATCCCACAGGTCCTTCTCCCCTCCACCACCCCCTCCCCACCCCCTGCACCTGGTAGTTGAGCTCCTTTTGCCTCCAGACATCCTGTTGCCTCTCCCTCCCCTGCCATTGGCAAACCTAGTGTTTCTGGGACTTGTGCATAATAAATTTATTCTGTTTCATGCGTCTTGGTTTCACTTCCTCATTGTGTCTCACCTGACACACACCTGAATGTAACTTCCACCTGGTCAG